TAATATTAAGCAATAGTCAAAATTCAAAGGTTTTTACAATGAAAAGATATTCTCCTATTTATACTAATGAATAAAAACGTCCAAAACCATCAAATTATGGTAATAATTTGATTCCATGAGAATTCTATCGAAACTAGGAAATTCGACCAAAAATAGAAAAATCACTAATTTTTTTGGCCCATGCGGCCGCATGGTGTAAATCCATGCGGTCGTATGGTTTAACTTGAGTTGGGGTTTTGGTTTTCGGGAACCATGTGTGCGGCCGCATGTAATTTTGCCTGTGCGGCCGCATGGTCTTGATTTTTGTCTCCACTTTCGTCACTTGATAACAAATTGATCCAAATCGATTCGGCTTTCGACCCGAACATGAAAGTTGCTCCATTTTGAGTCCCGAACATGGTTCCATCCATGGTTTCTTGAACGAGCAATCACATCGCTTGTTTCACTTGTTTTGCCCTTGATCGCGTCATTGGTCCGTCATCAACTATCAATGGGTCTCGTCTCGCACTTGCCTTCGTCGGGCTCGACTCCTGGATCATATCAATATTACTATAATGTTGATAAGTAAATCGCGGATTAAAACCGAACCAAAACGCAAATTATGGTTTGGTTTTGAGTTGAAAATATAGTACAAATCGTTCAAATCGAACCGCGTTCACCCCTACCTTTAGTCAATTTTCCCCACGTAATATGTCAACTTCTTGAAATCATCCAAATATACACATTTCTCACTTCTTGGTAACATGAAGCAACTCTCATTTCATCTTCTTTAAATTAAATCATTCAAGTTCTTTACTAATTCCAACAATAATTTACTACTACATACTGAAAATTAAATATGGGTAAATTAGGAAATATCTTGAAAAAATCTAATTTTCCAACGACATTAAAGAAAATTACTCAATCCGTGTAAAAAATGAAACAAACCTATATAATTAAGACGGAGACCGTAATATACAGATTTTGAGCAAACGAAGTGATGAATTGGATTAATCTTTTTGTTATTTAATTTACGTATACAGATGTGTTGATCATATATATTGAAGTTTTTCAATTTCGGTATGTTGGATTCCCTGACGCGACTACTGTGTCTATATCGTATAATAATCCTATATGGTTGAATGACAACCATTTTTTTTTTTTTTTTTTCTCTTTACACTGTTCTTCATCCCTTCCCTTCCCTTCCCTCCACTCAATTCCTCCACCTCCCATAACCACCACTTGTTAAGGTGGGCTGCAATTTCGTGATATTATCTCTCGATCAAATCCGTGCAAAAAAAAAAAAAAAAAAAAAATATATATATACACGCGCACGCGCACGCGCGCGCGCACACTCTCACATACACATACACAGACACATTCGAATTTATTTATACTTCTAAATTTAAGAAGTCTTTGGCCTCATTCGATGAGACTTTTTAAACGTTAAAAATTGCTTATAAGATTAAAAAAATATTTTTTTAACTTGTTTGGATAGTTTTTTGAAAGAGAAATGGTTTTAAAGAAAATTGATCAAAAATATTTTTTTCAAGAAGCAAACCCTGCCAAACTGCCCCTTTTATAGTTCAGATAAGCCATTTTGGACCTTAATTTTGCATAGAAAACTATCAAGTAGTACTTCATGTTTACATACCATTGATAGTGACCATTCTCTACCTATAATCCTTTTGTGTAAAGAGGCTTTGGGACTTTTCAAGTCAACTGCAAACTGCATAGATATTTACTTAAAATTAAGGGAAAAATAATCGCTTATGTTAATCTGCTTATCTATTCTACAACCGTATTTAAAAAGTGTGTCAATACAGTACATTTGGGACACGTTACCTTTGAAAGCAAAAGGCATTGAATTTTCAATACCCAAAACAGCTTTTTTTTATGAATTTATTATAACAATTGAATCATTCAGCTTTTAATTATTACTTTGGTAGTTGCTTGTGATTGCTGTGAAGCGAAGGTGGACTCAATTGATAATGAAATGGAAATTAATCCATGAATTAAATGTAAAAGAAGTTGAAAATAAAACAACTTTTGTGTTAAAAATTTTAAAAGGAAAAAAAAAGGTTAAAAATGATGTTGCCCACAAAGAGTGGGAATAAATTCTATCTTAATCTTGGTAAATATTTTCATATTTGATCAACTAATTCCGAATTAAATGGATGACCTAAACTTTTAGGGGTCAAACATTTTTTCATTAAATTATTGAAAATTCGATGAGAATTTTATTTTTGTTATTTTATCGAAATATTGGGTTTTAGTTCATTTTGGTTTGTCTAAATAAATACATCTCGAATATATTGTATTTCAATATGAATCAATGATACATGTCCATTTTCTATTTATTCGTTCGATTATCTGCACTTTTTGCGTCAAAAACTCAAAAATAAAGAATATGTACAATCAATCAAATCTTTATTTTGGAAACAAATGTGTCCGTGAGTTTGTATAAATGTTTGGAGAGAAAGCTCCAAGAATTTTTGTACTTTCTTTTTCTTAATCTCTTATTTTGAAATTAACTCATATTAACCATAGCGAAGTGTGTAAAAATGAAAGAAAACTCGAATATCTTATCTGAAATACGAATTAGGTAGGATCAATGTGCCACATAATGACTATAAATTTAGTCTTTTTTTCCCCTATTATATGATTTCTGAGAAATTAAGATAAATGAGTGGGGTCATAATTAGGAATATGGCCAAAATGACTAGCTTTATTCAAGTTGGTTTCTTTTATCATTTAGTTGAAGTGATGGCATTTTTCACCAACTTAGAAATGTCAAGTGCACGAGACAAAGAGATCCAAACCTCATTGTTTGACTTGCCATCAAAATAGTTACTAGGTGATAGGCCTCGTACAAATACACTAAGGTCGTGTTTGATACGTTGTTTTAATATGAGCATATGGATAATAGAAATAAAATTATAACTTTTTATTTTATTTTTTAGTACTATCTAATTTCTGTTTAGAAATATGTCATAAGTTCATACTAGTGTTTTGACACGTTTGATAGCACTTAATAATATTGCATGATACAATGAACAATACCTCAATATGTTTTCCTTTTTGATGTTGTTCAATATTTAATAAACTATCTTATTTTTATTTAAATATATGTATATTAGCTTTTTACTTTATCTACACAACTAATAATAAAGATCATTAACCAATGAGACATGGTAAGATGAAAGCAGCCAACTCATGTACTAGAAAGATGGTTTGTGTAATGTTACGTACAATGACAAAATATAGCATAAGAAATTGGGAGAATGCCACAAGTATTTGTGCTACATTTTAGAGTCTGTTTGGCAGGATTTTTTAAAATCAAAATCTGTTTTTGAGATTTTGAATATGTTTAGATAATTTTGTAGAAATATTTTGTTCGACTAGAATTTTTTTTGGAGAAAGCTATTTTGGACTAGAGGAATTTGTAAAGGAAGTGAGCACAAAATAACTTTCTCCAAAAATTCTTCTATTATAAGCAAAAGTAAACAATGAAACCCTACCAATCAAGTCCTTAGTTTCTAGGGTTCAATTCATTATTGGACTAATTTCCTCTATAATGACTCGGTCCATCATGGAGATATGGAGAAGATTTTGTTTTTATCTCCCATAAAGATTAATCAAATAATGCTCTAAAAAATCATATCTTTACCGTAAAAAAAATAAATAAATTAGTATTATCACATAAAGTATATGTTTAACCCATAATACTAGGGCTCTGTTTATTTAGATTTTTAATATATTTTGATAAAAGTTAATAGAATAAGGGTCTGTTTGATTGCGAATATGGAATTTAGGTGGAAAGAAAATGAATTCCAGGGAATTGAATTACCTAGAAATTGTTTTCATGGAAATTGTAAATTATTGTGTTTGATTGTATAAACTTTTCATGTGGAAAATGTTGAAGTAAAAGTATTTTTTGATGTTCGTTTGACTTTGTTTTACGTGGAAATTGTCAATTTTAGGGATATCCTCTTTTACAATTATTCCTAAAATTTGTTCCCATTGCCAACAATTAAAAAAAATAAAAAAAAAGCAAAAAAAATAAAAATAAAAAAAGGTGGAAAACCAAAAACCACCTATCCCCTAGGAAAAAAAAAGGTGGAAAATCACGCTTTAAGGTGTTGTACCTAGAAATTCATGGAAAATCAATTCCCTGGAAAATTTTGTCAATCAAACAGGTCAAAAGTGGAAGTTGGAATTTGAATTCCAAGTTCCATGGAAAATTTCGTGCAATCAAACGGGGCCTAAGTAGTTGAAAAGTTATGGAATCATAAAATCTGATATTAAAATTCATTATTTACATTAACTTAAATTTTAATTGATTTTTAAGCTGAACCTATAATTTATTTTCATCTTTTGTGTCCTCTAATATTATTTTACTTGATGTTTTAAACACACTCCAAATGTTTGACTCAAAGTTGCAAGTTTGGAAAATTATTTAGCCCTTGTTTAAGGCCCATTTTTTCCATTAAAATTCATTCTTTAACAGTGATTTGATCTCACTTCAATCACATATTTTTTAATAAAATAATATTACACTTAAATTTAAAAAATTTCTTTATTTTTTAACCACATATTTCTTATTAATATACTATTCAAAAATGCAATTTTCAGACAAGAATGGGGCTCAAACAAAAACTTATACGACTCTTTTTTTCATTAAATTCCTACCCCCATCCTTTTTCTCAAAAACTCTTCCAAGTATGAAACGGCCCTTTAATGAAGTTTTGATTATGCAAATATGAGAGAATAAATTCTAAAGCTCATAAAGTAAACAGTCAAATTAATTAATTATTAATTTATTCCCAAAAAAAACCCATTTTAATCACGAGTATTCAACTATGTGGGGGACATATAGAGACACACATGCGTATGTATATATCTAGGGGCAGAGGAGGAAATACAAAGAAATCGCGGCTGAAGATTCGGACTTTTCCTAGGTGTGACCTTATGAGCAAAAACAAAAATAAACTCAAATCCTAAAATTTTGAAATGTTTCGTAGTAAAATTCTTGACACAAATCTGAAATTTCCCTCAATACCTTTTGATTATCCTTCATATAACAGCCCAACAGATCTTGATCCTTTGATTTAGTCTAACAAACACACACGTGTCTGTCTTTCTCTTTGTTTTTTTACTTTTCCTATTGCTCACATTTTGCTTTCATGCATGGAATTCTCCTCCTACTAAAACACAAAAAAGAGAAAAAAAAAGAGAAAAAAAAAGAGGAAATATATGTGGAGTGTATGTAAATGCAGAGAGAGAAGGGGTGGGTACAGAGAAATATTAGGAAGAAAGAGTCTTCTGTTCTGTTAATTCTATTCTTGATCGGCTGTGGCTAGTTCAAGACCCGACCCACCTGTTCAAAAGTTTGATTTTGTCTGCATTAAATTCTTGAATCTTTTAACATTAATATAGGTAGAGTCATTTATATGCCTTTTTTTCGAGATTACAGTAAATATGGAAGTCAAGAGAGTTTTCCTTTTGTTCTGGGTATGATTTTTACTTCCCAAAACTGATCCAATCACTTGTGCAATACCGAGGTATAGTTTTTGTGATTTCTGCTGAATCCTTAGTTCCAGATTTGAGATTTTTCTTTTTTGGTTTCGTAACTCGTTGCTATTTTTCTGATCTGGGGTCTGTTTCTTTGTTCGTTCAACTATTTGGGTCTTGTTGGATCAAGAAATACTGCATTGTTGTGCAATTTGAGCTTACTGGTTGCTTGTGAATCTTGATTTTAGTATTGATTTTCTTGGTCAGTTCGAATAGAATTATTCAATTCAATGGCGGAGGAACAAGAATTGAGATTTGTTTGCAAGTTGTGCAATAAGAGGTTCCCATGTGGGAAGTCACTAGGGGGTCACACCAGGTCTCATGTAATTGCAAATTCTGCTGAATCTGAAGAAAAATTTGAGTCAAATATGAAAAGGATCTCTTCTTTAGGTGGGGCAGGGAAGATTATCATAAATGAGTCGAAGGTTGTTGAATTTGCTAATGGGCAATCCATTTATGGCCTTAGAGAAAATCCCAAGAAAACGTGGAGGGCTGTGGATTCGACCTTTCCTCTGCCACAGGAGAAGGTTTGCAAGCAATGTGGTAAAGGGTTTCAATCGTTGAAAGCGTTGTGTGGTCACATGGCTTGTCACTCGGAGAGGGAGAGGGGCTTGAAGGATGATCATTCTTGGACGAGTGAGAATCAGAAACTAGTTATGGATAGTCATTCAGATACTGAATCAGAGGACAGGATTTTGAGAACTAGATTATCAAAGAGTAAGAGGTTCAAGAAAATCATTGTCAAGTCGTCCTCGTTTTCTTTAGCTAACAATGGTTCTTCGTCTGTTTCTGAGATTGATGAGCAAGAACAAGAGGAAGTAGCTATGTGTTTAATGATGTTGTCTAGGGATTCAGGAACTAAAGGCGGCGTGAATTCAGTTGTTGAGTCTTCTGATAATAATTCAGTGGTTCTTGAAACTAAATCTTCTTCTATAGATATGATAATTGGAAGAAAGGAAGGCCTAAATTATGTTAACAATAATGACGAGACACTCCAAATGAAGAAAATTGGGGATAGGATGTTTAAAGGTAGAGCTTTGAATGCAGAAATTGCTCAAATGGAGAAATCTGATTCAGGGTATTTCTTAGATGAATGTGCTAAGGTTGAGTCTGATGGATCTGTCGATGGATATCACAGAAATGGTGCTTTCGGTGAATGGAAGAAGCCCCCGATGGGTGTTGGAGTTAGAGGCGAGGAGCCGGTTTCTGAATTCAAGAAAAGCTTGAACGTAATCAAGAGTTATAAAACAGAGCTTAGGAAGGAGGTTGCTCAGGAAAATGGATATGATGATGCTCGCAAATTTTCAAATTCGGCTAGAAATGAATCACGAAAGAGAAAACATAGATTTGAAGTTCCTGGATTTTGGAATGAATCTGATAGGAATATGAAAAAGGGCTCTTCAGACGATCAGGTATGCGACAATGTTCAGAAAAAAAGTAAATATGAATGCTTGAACTGTAAAAAGACCTTCAATTCATATCAAGCGCTTGGTGGGCATAGACCCTGTCACAAGAAAAGTAATGCCTTTTCCGAATCACAATATGAAACGGGCGAGAACAGTCAAGGTGATGTGAATGACTTCAGAACTGCTTATAAGCTAGGAGAGTCTACTAACAAGAAAAAACTGATATCTAAAATTTCATCTCATGACTCAAAGAAAGGAATTAAGTCGAAGAAGAACAAATTGCACGTCTGTCCATTCTGCGACAGGGTTTTCAAGAATGGCCAGGCTTTAGGTGGACACAAGAGGTCACATTTTATTGGTGGACACGAGGAAACTAGCAGTCGAACTCCAGTACTGAAGCCGGAGCTTCCAGATTTACTTGACCTTAATCTTCCGGCTCCTGAGGTGGACGAGGATGATGGCCATGACCAGTTCTTCCGGCTAGGTTGGAAATGAATGCAAGCCTTGCTGAGACTGCTGGTTGTGTTGACGGCTTCTTGAAGATGCTACAATATACAGACAATGTGGTGCCAATGGTACTCATTTGAAGTTGTTTTGCTCATATCGACTGTAAGAAGCTCACCGATCCTATTCTGAATCTCCATTTTGTTAGACCCAAGAATATGCTACAATTTTTTCCAGACTTCAAATTTATCCATTTATTTAGTTTTCAAGCAATGGCATTATAATCAATATGTTTATGTCAGTTAGTTCTTTGACTGAAGACTAGAAGCTAAGATTAATTCATTTTAGTTATGTGCTGTCATTCATTTCCTTTTAGTTATGCAATTTGAAGCATTGAAGTCAATTGTGTTCACCATTGTATGAATTCTTAGATGAGATTTAATTGCCTAATGATAACTTTTTATTGGGATTTAGAAACTGAAATAACGAGGTTTAAAATTCGCAGCAGAGATTGCTATCATGGCTGTAAAATATGCGGATTATTTTTTGCTGCTATACTTGGATATAACCGTATATGGAGTTGCCGCGGATCTGCTTATTTCATGAAGTTTCTTTTGGACATAATCTTGCAACTTGATCAATATGATATAAATTTTCTTTTGTTTTCATTTCTTTTTCCTTACTCTTTCATTCATCGGTTCCCTCAGCCAAATTTGTTGTTACTTCGGTGGTTGCTTCTAGCATTGGAAACTAATATGATTAACTAATGTAATTGTCACCATCATTGCCTTTCACAAGAGAAAGGACAGTCCTTAAGCATGTCGCTTTAGTATGCAATAGAAGACACAACTTGACAGTATAATGAACAACATTTTAACTTTTTTTTTTTTTCTCTCTCTCTCTCCGTTAAGTGTAGAAGTTGAGTTCTTTCATGAACTGGTTCTGTTATGTCAGTAATTGTCTTGGGTATTTGGTTGCTTGCATTCCAGTAGAAGTCATTTTGGGGGGGGGGGGGGCGGGGGACGAATGTTGCAAAGTGTCATAAATATGATGAATCATATTAGAATTCACCTACCTTCATATCCATCTTGATATGCCATTTGAGTATTTAAAGGTTATCTCTTTTGACTTTGATAGAAAGAAAAAGCTTATGCCGACAGAATCGAACAGTATAATGAATAAGATTTTAATTTCTTTTTTTTTTTTTTCTTCCTTAACAGTGTCAAGTCGACTTTGCTTATAAAGAGGTCATTAGTGTGTACTTATTAGAATCCACATGTTTGTTAGTTATTAGTTGTTACTATCTTTATGCACCTCAATCTGTCTTCTTGCTTTTAGCTTCATTACACTTAGGTCAGCCTTCACCTCACACAGTGAAAAGATGCAGCAGATCAAATTCCATATATAACACAAGACACGTCAGTATACTCACTAATTGGTTGACAACATCCACTAGACGGGGGAAGATTAATTTATTTTGGATGTCATTATGGCGTGTTTGGTAAACAAATTTGACAAATCACCAATATTAAGGGTGTCTCCTAGGAATAAGAAGCTGCTTTTAGATCTATTTGAATATTTTTTAAGAGTTCTTTGTAGGATTAGAAGAAATTTTAGAAAAAAATTGATCTAAGATAACTTCCTCATGTACGCCAATTGAATTCATTACAGAGCAACATTATCTTTTATTAGTTGTCCAAGATGTGCAAGGAGAAAAATTTGAGAAACTGAAATTCTGTACGATATAAAAATTTTAATCAATTGAATCTTTGTCTAGCACTTTTATTACCTTCATTTTGGGTATGTTTGGCAAGACTTCTACTTCTTGTACAAAATCTTTTTAAAAAGCTACCTTATATTGACTTTCTTTAAAAATTATTCTACTCGGACCACAGTTATAAAACCCGGCTTGGAAAATCGGTGACCCTGGCCCTTGATCGGGCCGAGTATAACATTTTCTTATAGATGCAACTGACTCAGTCAAAAGTCGAGTTGATTGAGTTTGACCAAGATTTAAAGGTTTTATCTTTAAATTTTTTGTTCTCAAAAGACTTGAACCTTAGATCTCTAGGTAAAGTAAGTACCACCTAACCACTAGAGATCAATTGTTTATTGTTATGTGTTTGCAATAATTATCTCATCCCGTTAGATTCCTATTTTTATCAAAGTACATCTTTCTCTCGTTGTTTTTTTAAATCACACATTTTTTATTAAAATAAAATTACACGTTAATCACAAAAATTTCCTTATTTTTAGTCCACACAAATTATCTATCAATCTACCATTCTAAAATCTATTTTTCCATAAATCATTTATAGTTTGGTAAAAACATTTTTAAATATCAAACACCCTCTATATATTTAAATCATTTATAGTTTGTTAAAAACAGTTTAAAAAAAATTATAGTAACTATTTTTATTAAAATGAATTGAATATTTAACAAAATAAAATATAAATATAGAAATAATTAATGATCGATAATTTTTTTTTTTCCTGAAGAAACTTTATACTTTCAAAAATATTTTATAATTATTAAACAGTGACCTATCGGTCTAGCCACTAACCCACCAATTCGACTAGTAACTCAAGACCCTGTGCCTTGACCAGGTCGATTGTCGAGTTGGATTTAATAACTATGACTCGAACAAAACAATTTCAAAAAATTATTCATATTAAAAAATAATTTCTTAATCTTGAAAGTAACTTTTAATTTTTCAAAAACCATGTCAAAATCAAATTTCAATCTATAGAAAGATAAAGTTGCCTTTACTGCTATCGTAGTTAATGGAACGAAATGATTTACTAATTTATGCTTATACGTAAATTTTATCAAGAAAGTTATTTATGTGCAAATATATTCAACAAAAAGGCTGCTATAAAGTATTTAACGAAAATCACGTTTATTCATATCAGAGCTTCCTTTTCCCCTTTATTATTATAGTCAGAGGTCCTCAAGGATTTGTGCTTTTTCTTAAATATTACAATGTAGTTATAAACTCATAAATCATAATTGAGTATTTCAAGAATATTAGACTCCAAATTTAATTCGCCTCTTCTCAATTCTCGTAGAGGTCCAAATATATCTTTAAGTCAGCCCTAAATTTATTTTTTTAATAAAAGCCGCTCTCAACTTTTAAAATCAATAAATTTTCATCAACTTAATCATCAAAAGAACATTGGTCACAAAAAATGTGAAATAAAGGTCAACGAAGATCAAGTCTTAAATTGCATTGATTCGTAAATTTACAGCTTGTTTGAGAGTGATTTTTTGTCCATTATTTCACTATTTCAGCCGTCATATTTGACTTATCCTCTCATAACCCCCTTTTTACCTACCGGTCAAAAAATCAATTCTCAAAATCACTCTCAAACAGGCTTCTAATATTCGTTAGTGCATCATAGAATATTGAGGCCGCTAAATTGTTAATTCCGATAATTACCCATTTGAATGCAAGATTGCAAAAATCTCAAATATTTTATCAAATAAAAATTCGATAACCACCGCTCCAAAAGTTTATGCCGCTGCACTTTTAAATACCAAAAGATGATAAAAACCTAATAGGACTCCTGTTTCAGAATTTTAATCACGTGTCTTGGTCAAGATTAAAAATGAAAAATAAAATAATATATTGTCAATTATAAAGTGAAATACAATGTATTATCATACGTGCTCCCTTCCCTAGTGCATATGTCCATCATCCAATCATATATATTTTCCATCGTACCAAAATAAGTTGACAAATGGCCTATTATGAATAAAATTTAAGATAATGAGCAAAGGACATACCCTCATTTTCAACCATTTCGCATTCCAGATGGCACGATATCCCCGAGTAGTCCTTGGTCCACTTGGGGATGTGAACTTATTGACTCTTGTACTTCTCCAATCTTGCCTGCAGCAGGGACATTCTGTGATTGTGCAATGTGGAGTGAATTTTCTTGAGAAATTTGCAATCCTGCAGGATAATGGACGGAAGGGCTCAACCGGCTTGCAAATGAAGCCAGATCAGGAGAAATAAGTCCACCTCTAGGATATCCAACTGAATGGTGACAGTGCTGCCCTTCGTATGTTGTTATCACGACAGATGGATCATCAGAGGAACGTTCAACTCTTTTTTTAACAATGCATTTGCTATTTGTACACCGGTAATAACTCCTGCAAAGAAGACAATGCTATTAAAAGAAAATTATTCTTATTTTCTTGATTTAAATATGATTAAGTGGATCGAATTTTTTTTTTATTTTTTAACATCATTTTACTGTAAATATCCATTTCTCAAGTTCGTTGGCCTATAAATCGATGTATTTATATTATTAACAGTGAACTACACAATTAATTAGATGCATCTTGCTTGTGGAGAAGACCAATACTTGTATTCAAGAAAGGAAGTGAGGGATCAATATGGTTGCCAAATGTATTCTCTTGTTTATATTAAGATCATGGACGGACGTCAAGTGTTATAATATTATCCCTTAAGAGAGAAAAATTGACTCATTCCATTATTTGGAGCGCCACAAAGGAAGAGACGAAACAATATTTTAGAGATTGAGCTATACATTAACTGGAATGAAATCATAATAAATAATAAAAACTTCATTTGACCTCCAAGTGCTATAATGAGCTATAAATTTGGCAGTGCTTCAAATAAAAGTAATTTTCTGTAGATCAAACCCTATTACTTTTTGCCACAAAATCAAATATTTAAAAGAAAGTAGGCTGCTAATTTCCTTTAGCATAGTACTTTAATTGAAAAACGACTATATGTATCCGAAATGGGGTGATATACCTGTGGCAACAATATACATTTCTATTTCTATTTCCAAAATTAGTCAAGGGACTTCTATGAGGTTCAATCATGATATTTATACATGTGCCAAACTTGTCATACATTGCACATCCGATCAATTGTACCAAAGTGAAATGTTACAAGCTAACAAGTCCACTCGGTGCCCAGGATGGAGTGACTAGACACTACTCAACAAAACACTAGAGAAATAAATTCGAGTCATCTCTAACATGCATAAACGTGCTCTACTTGATGAAGTATGTATGTAACTGTAGAATTATATATATTTTCCACTAAATGAGACTATAAACTAAGATATTAAAATTATGTATTTATAATGAGAAGAACAAGGGAAAACCTTGGAAATGGACTATTTTTTACAGCTTTCTGTCCATATTTGCGCCATCTGTAACCATCTTCTAGATGATCAACTTCACTTTTAGTAACAAATGCAAAACGTGGCTGACGAATTCGCTTTTGTACCTTTTTTCTAGCCTTGCTCCTGCAGAAATTTCAATCATGAATTTCAATGTAAGTATATACTTCATTTTATGAAACCATAGGAAATATAAAGCTGGCAGCAATGATGATAACTTATGAGGAAATATGTACAACGTACGTTCTGAAAGTCACAGGTGCTAACAGATCATAATTAGATTGACAATGATATATCCCTTGTAATTGTACTATTTACAATCAGTGTTCAGTTCCCCAATACACAGGATATTTTCATGACAAAACTATTGCAAGTTTGGTAGCGTGGATTTAATAACACTAGATAATTTTGTTCATTACACGTACTAAACAAAATAACATGAGAACATTATTATTATTATGCAAATAGCATAATATCATGCTTCTTGCATCCCATGATGTATTCTGGAATTTGTCTGCACAACATGTAAAAGGTTTATGCCACAAAATGCACCTAGATTCTTAAAGCTTAGGCTCTAAAATGAAGTAAAACAAAATGCTCTCCCAGAATGATTTTGTTTTCCCAGAATGATCGGACCACGTTAAGGCTAATGCAAGATAGTGGTTCCCAAAATCATAAAATCCAAGCATTAAGATGGAGCACTATCTCAAGCAACTTGCAAAGCGACGGAAGCGTACATATCCCCACCCCCCTCTCCCCACTCCCCATTTTCTACTTTATTAAGAAAATATATAGATTATAAAAAATGGGGATCCTGATCATAATGACTAGTACAGGCCAAAAATGAAACTAATTTAAGTATAGAATCTATAGATATATGAAGTAACGAAAAAAAAAATGCAAGTAAAGACATCGTGAGATTTTATAGCTTTATTTATTGGGAAAAAGTAAGAATTTTTGTATATATTCTAGCTTTTTATGAATATTTTTTATTTTTCTGGACGAGATGCATGCATCGTCACCGTCATATCGTCATTTTAAAAGCAAAACAGTACTCTGTAGTGTATAATTTTTCTGATATGCCTTTCTTCTGAAAAAGTGAGAAAAAGTTACAAAAGAAAGAGATGAAAGTAGGAGTGATACAGCACGCTGCACGCCTTTGCCGCCGCAATAACGGCTGTGGTCGATCCACGATTTTGTTTTTAACAAAATACCAGTAAAAGCCCCCCCTCAATTTTCGTTATACTCCGCAAATACCTATGCCCCAAATTGCGTGCAAAAATAAATTCGATGCTTCTAGACTCTGCAGAAAACTGTACGGACAAGGAATAGGGAATAAGCATTTTATGCGTGCTCTAGCGTTCTACCGGTTTTTGCTAACTTGAATTAATTGATGAATTCCGTTTTTCCGTTTTTCTTTATTTTTCCGCCTCTTGAAAAAGTACACGTGCATGCACTACACTACACTACCCTACCCTGCACTCACGCTGTTTCCGCCGGCAGCTTGGCAGAGGAGTCACCGGAGGCCAACGACTTCTCCGGCTTATCCTCCGAAGAGCTCCAAGATACCGATGCCTCCACTTTTTCCTCCTCCGCCGTCTGTTCAGTAGTAGTTCTCTGAGGAGCTGAAACTGAAACGTAATCATTTGAGCTCTCTCCCCCAAAATTGGAGTCTATCCGATCGGAATCTCCGAAACCACCGCTGGATTCTGCCGGAATATTCCACACGAACTCGCTGAGTATGCTACTATCCTTGTCACTTCCAAAGAAAAACTCATCTCCGCCACCGAGTCTCCAGCTCGACCCAGTTGGATCCATCTTCTCCTTACCATCCATAGTAACTCTGTCGAACTATAGATACAAATACCAATATTATGTGCGTGAAAATCTAGAATCTGCAGAATATAGAAAATTAAGGAAAACGCGGAGAGAGAAAGCTAGGGTTCGTAGAGAAGCGAGAAAGAGAACGCGTCACAAAGTAGAGGTGTTTTTCGTTTGATTTTGTGATCTTTTTGAAAGCCGCTGTCGTGTCAATGCACAGAGAGAGAAAAGTATTATAGAAAGATAAGATAAAAAAATTGTCGTTAAGAAAGGACAATAGTGAGATTATCTTATGTCTTGTTGGCAACTGCAGTGTGGAAATTCGATTCTTAAGACATAAAATTGAACTATATGTAGGCTTAATGTACAAGTAGCTCTTATTTCCCGACCTGTTAGGGCACATCTCGCAATTTACCTCCCTCACAATGCTCTAAGAGCGCGACAGTAGGAGTCATCAAGACTGGGGTTAAAAATTTTTTTTTTTTTTTTAAATTTAAAGAGAAGAGGCTGAAATTTAAGCAAATTACAGTACAGGAGGAGGATTAGAGCTTTAAATTATAATTTAAGTTGATCAATACATACTTTTTAATTTTTATTCTTATATAAAAATCATAATTTATAATTAATTTATTATCACACATTTCATAAAATTCATATATTATAAATAACTAAAAACACGAATTAATCTTCCAATGGTTAATGAAAATAGGTCCATGTTTTTTATTGTTCGTTGAAATTTAAAATATCGAGTTTTGATCATTGAATTTAGGTCCATGCTTCAATTGCTAACGAAAATTTAAAATGTCGAGTTTTGGCAGTTGGACTTTAAAAAAGTTGTACACTACTCATTAACATAAATGTTGAATTTTGAAAAATGAAGAGTTTACATGGAGTAATATACAACGTTTTTTAAAATTCAGTGGCCAAAACACAATATTTTAAATTTCAGTGGACAATTGAAGTCATGGACCTAAACTCAGTGGCCAAAACTCGATATTTTAAATTTCAGTGATCAATTAAAGACATGGTCCTAAATTCAGTAACCATTAGAACAATTAACTCCTAAAAACACTATAAGCCCTTGTTTGGTCCCCATCTTAGGGGAAATAATATATTTTGAATAGTAAATCGATGAATAATGTGTTGTTAAAAAGTAAAAAAAAAAAATTTAAACTTGTGTGTAATATTATTTTATTAAAAAATGTGTGATTGAGAATGAGTTTTGAAAAAATGAGTTTTTTTGAAGAACAAGAATCAAACAATGGGTAAATTAGCAGTTATTAATATTGTTTAAGAAATTAGTTCGAGTATTTACTCGAAAAATATAAACGTTAGAGTCAAAGACTTATGTCAAAATCGACTCAAAGTTAAGGGCCTGTTTGGCACCAATTTTTTCACCCAAAAAATTAATTTTTTGACCGTTATTTTACTATTCCAGTCGTCATATTTGACTTCTTCTCTCATAGGTGGACCCCACTTTTCTCCTAACGGTCAAAAAATCAATTCTCAAAATCACTCCCAAACATACCCTAAATCAATAGAAAGAAGAAAAACCAAAGTTTTTAGGTGAACATGTCGGTACAACTTGAAACTAGCCTGCTCTTGACTTGTTAATCGGTTCTAACTATTTTTTATTTTTTTATCTGTCGTATGATTAAATTGTTTCTCATGTTTGTCCGGTCAAATCAACTAATCTAGTATGATTTTGGCAACATGATAATTATTGTAAGCTGAAAGATATTCGACATGTTTGACAATAAATATATATTTTTTAAAGTTTAGGAACGTTGTACACTAGCTATAAATCTATCAATGAAGCTATGGGTACAAAAAATTTTGACAGACGCTACATGACGTGTAGTTATTGGAAGATGAAAAACAAAACACCAAAAAACATGTAAGGAATTTCCAGTACTTGAAGCTTTTTCCTAAATCTATAATAATAGCAGTTTCAATTGAAAGAGTGAAGACGTGTCAATTTGTGAGCTGTATAAGTTAACAAACTACCGTAGTAATGAACATAAGATTTTGCCCAGGGCATATTTTCCAGTGACAAAGGAGAGGGCGGATAGGGTTCAGCGCGATAGTGTGCAGAGTTCGATTCCCCGCAAGGTGAAATTGACTTTGTTGCGAGCGGGAGTTACCATATGGATTAATAGCCTTGGCCTATCCATGTGCTCTCCACACTGGCTCCTGGGAGGCACATCCTACGATTTACCTCCTCCACGATAGTTCAGGACAGGGTCGGTGGGGGCCCTTAAAGCTGGGGTTCAACCTTTTTTGAACATAAGATTTTAATGAAATTTTACTCTATTTTTTGTCCTCATTACCCTATGTCTTTATATAAAATTGAGACTGCTATGTGATAAAATTCTACTAGTTTAAGGTATACGAAATATATATAAACTTTCTTGACATTGACTCGGTTATATATTTTACAGGTTCTATATTTATTATGTTATTGACTCATAATTCGGAATGAGCGATCCTGTAACAAACTATTTTTTCCGGAGTTTTCACAATAATTATTGTCTGAAATATCCTTGTTTAAAATTTTCATTGTAAGAGGCCACCAATATAGCTAGTGATGTTGATACCTCAACTGAAGTTTGGATTCATTAAATTGCACACATTCAGGTACTGGGACCATTTTTTTTAAGGCGAAAGCAAGAAGCTAAAAGTCTTGACACTCTTAACACTTCGAGATTTTATTCTCGATCAGTAATTGAGTCGATTTCTAAGATAATAGGTTTGATACGATATTAGAGTAGCTAATTATATGTCACTTGTTAAAGTCTCGTTGTCACATATTTATGAAATTGTAATTGTGATAAATTAAGCACATGTTTGACAACTTTTATTTCAAAATTTTTTATTTTTCAAACTCATTTTCAACTATACATTCACACAATAAAATATTGTGTACGTAAACTCAAGATTTTTTCTTACTTTTTAATCACATATTTTTCCAAAAAAATTTAAAAAAAAAATAAATAAATTACAATTTAAAATATTATTTTCTCCTCAAATTCTCTTTAAAATGGCCTTCAAATAGGGACCCAATTCAATTTAAACGTTATAGTATATGTTTAAAATAAAATTTAAATAAATAATATGATCGTCTCCCACCAGATTGAATATTACAATGCGACAATTCAATTGTGGCCTTAATTAATATTTATTTTAAATTTTTATCATTTAAACAAAATTGAGATGCCCCAGTCCCCACGCCCACTACATGGAAAAGGAGTGGCTATTGATAGTCACAGCCTTTTAATTGCTTGGAATCATGGAACATTTTTCTTGACCAAAAATTGATGGAATATTTAATATCCATTTTAAATGTATCAATTTTCTTAGCACGAATCAGTTACGTGAACGTGGGTCCCAAGCCAGCCATGTCCTTCCAGAACACCCGTTGCGAGGTAATAGCTTGTTCCCTGAATAATTTAATTAAGCGCCACCAATAATCCATAGGTGCATAACATGCGAGTGTATTTTATACCCTTATCGGAATTTCTAAACTAGATGAAATATGATTAAATTGAGCAGATATTACCAATTTAGTGTAAATTTGTAAATAGTAGGTAAAACCCCAATTTGGATGCAATTGGCGAGAAGAAATTGGAGGATTGTTAGGAGTTTAATGCTTTTTCAATATTTGATCACTAATTGACAAGATTTGTGATATCTAGTGAAATTGGAGGAAATGAATTATAGTACATAATAACAATTATTGTAAAGTTAAATAAACGATATAGATATAATTTTATGCTTTGCATGATCATTTTTTCTTTTTTTTTTTGGCAGTTTAGTGCATCTTTGAATGTTCACATCCTTCATAAAGATATTTAATAATCATATACGAGGATATGTTTAATTCTAGCAAAGAGGAATTATTAATAAGTTGAGGACATTGGTGTTCAAGTTTGAATAAGTATTGTCCAACTCTTGGATTGATATTAAAATGGATAAATGTAAGGAAATTTGAAGTCCTATTGCTTACTATAATTATGTATTCATAATCGTTTTTCATTGATTATTTAGATTAGTTATATATTTTAATTTGTTATAACTCATCCTTTAAATATTGCCATAGGAATAAAGTTAGATTTAATTGAAATTAATCCTAGTGAAATCGATACTAGTAAGTCAACTTTATTTCTTGTTTACGATACGGTTCACTTACGAGAATTTAGTAGCACAACAGCTAAAAACAAAACATTGTGTTCATTTTAAATTCTGCAAACCAGGAAAGATGACTATTCGATGGTGAAGAACCTTCGACCGTGCCTGAATAAATGATCCATTAGTGGTTTGATCAATCGCATCTACAAAATTTAAGGATGGATTTGCGATTTGATCAATCTAGTGAATCAAGTGAAGGTGGGGGATAAAATGCCTAGCTGGTAATTCCATTGAATCTTGATGCGATTCTATCAAGAAATCCACAGTTTTGTGTTCATAATTAGCAACACTAATCATTATAATTAAGTGGTTGATGAGTCATGATT